CTGATTTAATTTCAACCCACTGGTTCTGGTCCGACCTTCTGGGGCAACAGAAAACAACTCCGCATCATCCTCTATATGACAGCCCTTCAAGTATTTAAAGATGGTTATCATATCACCTCTCAGTCATCTCCTCTCCAGGCTAAACATACCCAGCTCCTTCAACCTTTCCTCACAGGACTTGGTCTCCAGACCCCTCACCTTCTTCATTGCCCTTCTCTGGACACGTTCCAGCTTGTCTATATCTTTCTTAAATTGTGGTGCCCCAAACTGAACACAATACTCTAGGTGAGGTCGAACCAGAGCAAAGTAGTGCCATCACTTCACATGATCTGGACACTATACTTTTGTTGATGTCGTGAGTGTATTTATTGCATTGGAATGTCATGTTGGGGGAAATTTCCATTTTTCATTAATGCTGGATTGGATGACTGGCCATTAGTTCCTAAGGAGGGTAATTGGAGGAAATGACGATTTTCCAGAGCTGCTGTTTTTTCACCACACAGCATCACAATTTCAGTGAACCTAGTCCTCCCTCTCTACAAAAGAACCCCGGGTTTCAATTGAATTCGGTAAAGGGATCTGTTTTTACAGCTCCTTGAAGTAGAAGGCCCCAGCCCATGGAACAGCTATTTTTAACTAAATGGCATCCCCCACCAAGAAAAAAAAGACCCTGCAACAATTGAACAACAGGTAAAATAAGAACAGTATATTAACAAACAACTTCCCACTCCTCCAGCACCCCAGAAAAAACAAGTGTTTCCTTGTCACTAACCCCTCCAGTGTGTCCCATGGATCACCAGTTGAGGAACAGGGTTCTATCAAGGATGTTTGCACTACAAATTTAAACCAACTTTAAGCCTGTTTCTTCCTGGTAACTTTGATGAAGGAATCAGGAATGTGCCATGAATTTTTTAGAAGATGCCATGATCAATTGTTTTCAGACCGGTTTCAAGATAGTTCTACTGCCTATTGTATATTCATAAACTTTGGCTGGCACCGAAGGATGGATGTGCATTAATGCTTAACCATTTCTCTTCTTCTGTCTCTCCTCCTGTCACCTCGTTTTCTGCTATACCCCAGGGAGCAGCAGGAAGGTAAGGTATTTCTAAACAATCCATTATTGATCATTATCAGTTACAGGTTCTCCTTTCCAATTGATTTTTTTTAAATTGTGTACAGTAGTTTTTATAGACTGGCTTTTGTTATGGACATTTTCTGCTCCCCCCCTTAAAGATCAGATTAGGATGGGGAAATTATTATGATTGCTATGATTTATGAGAAGAATGAATGCCTTCACAAATTTACCAGCTTGCTTTAACCATAAGAAAATCCTAACTCTCATTTACTTCCTGTTTAATTTTTGCAGCTTTTTTTTGCTGTGGGCGTATTGACTTTTCTTTTAAAGATGCCGAGTGTTCATTTTGATGGTGTCCACAGGATCACTATTATCTTTTTCACCTTTAAGGTTCATAGGTTTTTACAAATCAAGGAGCAAGCCCATTCTTCCCTTTCCAGAATTCTGTCTCTCTTTCCTTTTAGAACCCCTTTTCCACCTGCAGACAAAGGTTATATTTAAAAACAGGCCACCATCAGGAACCCTCCCAACTTGTATCTGCTCCCAAAGCCGATCCTTGACTTGCTGTAATTGGAAGCCAAAATTTCATATTTGCTGATTCCCATTCCCTCCTTGCAAAGAAAAACACTCTCGCTGTCTCACTCTCTTTCTTGGTATCTCTTTTTCTCTCTTTCTCCCTTTCTTGAAGAAGAGGAACAACCTGAAGAAGAAGGTGAGGTGATATCACCCTTGTCTATTCTGCCCTCCCAAGAAGTGCCCCCTTCCCCCTTTTAGGCCAAGGATAAACAGAAATCCAATCAGAATCAAACAGAGTTAAGAGATTATTTAAGTGTTTGGAAGACGAGGAATACTCTCTAAACCAGGGATGTTCCTTCTCCCAAAAGGGATTGAGGACTATTGGGCAAGAACTGGAGGAGTGGAAATAGGGTTGCCAAGTCCTTACTGTATGTAAATTGGGGGAGTCCAGCGCTGCTCCGGGAGTCGATGTGCGCCCGCAAAACCATAGAGTTTTCCCTCGGATGATTGTGGCCCCGCCCCCAACGTGCCCGATGTGATTGCGTCACTTCCGGGTGATGTGCTGACACCGGGCATGTCACATGCTTTGGGGGTGGGGTTCCCCCCGGGGCCCGATCTGCCGCCGGCGGGTAACAGGCCTCTCGGGTGGGGGTTTCCCCGCCCCCCGGGGGGACTTGGCAAGCCTAAGTGGAAATCAGGGGCACCTTATTTCTGGGAGGGAAGTGTGGTCAGATGGATTGGAACAAGGAAACACTGAATACAAGATTTCTGGTTTCTATTACTTTAGTGGTTCTTGCTCTCTCATTACAATGTTTCTCGGTTTTGATTTTCAGCTTCGAAGGAGTTATAGTGTTTGGCCTCTTTTCTCTTCATAGTTTGTTTGTTTTTTTGTACTTGTAATTCAATTGATAGAACATGTTTTTTGGAACTTTGCATGCCATGTGTAATAAGTATGATTCCAGTATAGCATAATTGGGTCTCATGTGGTTTCAAAAGTCTTTATGATCTGCAGTCCATCTCTGCTTAACTATCTATTTCATTCTTCTTCATCAGTTACCATCACTGCCCTCCATTGTTTGATGGTGGCTGTGTCTGCTTTTGCCTTCTGGTTATAACCAGCATTTCTCCCCTGACCTTTGATACTTGGATACTGATTCCAAACCACATGTACTGGGTGTTAGTTCTGAATAGCATACATTACTTCACATTACAGCTGAATTTCATGAGCATTTTTATATCCTTTCAAGAGTACACCCACCCTTTGAGGGGATTTTTCAGGAGGGGCATGAAGAGGATAAAAGTGCCTGCAGGGGATTTAGGAAAAGAACAATGGTCACCATGTAATCTGTCTGGTGCGCTATAATAGTAGCATCATTAACATAGTTAAAGACAAACAAAACCGTCAACGGGTCGGTGTGTGGGCTAGGTTTGCCCCCAGTAAGTGGCCACTGAGCCAAATTTAATTTGTGCTATGATGTCATCACATTCCATATGTGATCCCTGATTGTCTAGAATTACTAGAGCTAGTAGTTGGGGAAGGGTTGTTTCCCACACACCCCCTTTCGTTCTGAATATTCGGCAGAGTTCGGTTTCACATTTCTGCCTTTAACAGCAAAATTCGGTGCCCCTTCTGAAATGATTTCTGCTGGAATGCCTAACATGGTTTGCCGTTTTTGAGAAGCCAGCCTCAGTGTGAGTAGGGGGCTTCTGTATGCTGCTAACGTTGTGGATTTCGAACAGCATCTCAGGGAACCCTGGGGTTCTTCCTGGAAAAGATCAGCAATGGAGGACAGATTGACGGACACTGCTGATCTTTCTCTGCAACGCACAGCTGCAGGAAGATGTTGACAGCTCACTCGTGTCCCAGGAGCATGGAAGACAGGGATGGTCTGCACATGCAGAGAGATGAGTTGGGAATGGACAATAGAGTTCTGAGATAGATGGACTGTACCACTTCTAGGCAGCCAACAGTGCGAAATCATACTTTTCAATGTTCTCCTACATAAAAAAGCTCTTACAACCAAAACAAAACCAAGGACAGCAGAAAACGGGCTAGAATCTTTTATTTGCAGGGGGGTTTCTATGGGGGAACTGGAAAATGGCATCCTTTATCTGCAGTCATACAGTCCCCTGTGTCAGCTCAGGATTCTGTCATTCCATGGAATGTGTAGACCAGGCCAAACAAGGCAACACTGAGAACCAACGGGCATACCCAGTGCCCAATATGAACTCTGTGTTTGCCTTAAAAGATGCCCAGGATCCTCTATAAAGCACAGGGATTCCATAGTAGACCAGAAGATGAGAAAATAATTCCCCTCAGTTTGAAAATGTATGAAAACTGCTGCCGTTTTTCAACATCTGTGGCAGAGAATTAGATGTTTAACTCTTAGACTGTGGTGCCTATTACCCAGAATCCCGTTTTTAACTCCATTTTTTCTGTAACAAGATAATATCACTCCCATGGTACTCCTTTCAAGGAAGGGGGTAGTGGCTGAATTGTGTGGGAATAGTGGGTTGAGTGTGTTTCCTTCCCTCAGCTAATCAGTAACAATTTTAATGACCCTGCCACCTTTTGTCCTGGAGACGGATTGATTTAACGGCCTTTTCCTTTCTTTCCTGGGTTTGATCTGTACCCTACAACTTCCTTCTCTCTTGCTCCTTCCTCTCCCAACTCCATATCTGTCTCTCCCAACCTTGTGATGTGTGTTGTTTGCAGTGGCTGAAGAACCTGATCCGTCTGCTGAGCCAGGTATATTCCTCCTTCTCTCCATCCTTTCCTTAGGGGCAAAAAAAATTCCAGAGAAGTGCAAGTATAAATACGTCGCTCTTCCTTTTCTCTTCCCCATTCCTGCCATCTCTCAGCAAAAGCTGGCGTGTTTCCAATGAAGGGAGGCATTTGGCTGCAGTCTTGGGTGGATGCCCCGACGTGTCTACGTCACTTGGGGGGCATAAATGGCATAAATTGGCATAAATGGATGGACAATTAAGAAGTGGGTATGGAGAGACAGACAGACAGACAGAACCATGGATGGGTGAAGAGAGATGGCTTATTGGATATTTGGTTAGGTGTAAAGGTGGGGTATGGAGCTGGATGATGGATGTAACGCTTAATCCGGCAGTTAATTTCAATTAGTCATGTAACCGGTATGCAGGGGCATGAAGGAAAATCACGGTGGGCCCATCTGAACCCCAAGTGAGGGGCAGCCCAAGACCTGTGTGGGGTGGGGAACGAGGCACCCACCTGATCCCTGTACGAGGAAGAAAGCGTCCGGCTGAGTGACAGAGGGCTCACTGGGCCAGCTCTTACTCCCTCTCTACTTTTGGAGCCAAGACCCTTTTCTAGGGCTGTTTTCCCCTCTTTACCACAGTGGCACAAAGGTAGGGCACGAAGACAATTGTCTTTGCTTTTCCCAGCTGAGCCGTGCTATAAAGCTATAGCAGGACTCCGCTGGGGGGGGAAAGGGCCCCAAAGGGGGAGGGGAAACGCAGAGCTTAGTTCGGCCATTTTAATGTTGGAGGATAGCGCCATCCCTCGGCTCCTCCCGTAGTGACTGCTAGTGGTGTGTGCGTGGAGAACCTGTTTGGAATGCTAGAGCTCGGCATTAAACCTGAAGAGTATAAAAAAGGGGGTTCTGACGAGGTTCTCTGAGAAGGACATCCCCTCCCCACTCAGCAAAAGTTGAGGGCCAGAGTTTCAAGGTCACTGAGCGTGGTTGCCAGTCAGGCATGTGCTGCGTGCTTTACCTTTTTAGGTCAGATAGAGAATAGACAGTGGACTTGTAAAGATTGATGGATGGAGAAGTAGGAGATGCCACTGATGAACAAATGGGTGTGGAATGCCAAGTGAGCGTGAGTTGCTGTCCCTGACTGCCATCTAGTTTCCCTCTGAGCCCATTTTCGCCTAGCCTGAAGCCATCTGAAATCCTTCGCCTTATCTACTATCCCGGCCCACAGCAGTAACTACAACACATTTCTTCCCCCCAAGATTTCCCACCCCCTCCTGGTCGCACACTCTTAAAAGAGCAGGTTGTGCACACACTCCTAACAGGGCAGGTGTTTTTTGATATATACATAGATATATCTATGGGCTTCTGATGCGCTCCGTGTGCCACACATGTTCAGATACATGCACACAGCATGTTTGCGCCATGTATCTACACCGAGACCATGTGTATCCCCCATCATGTCTATAAGGGAAGCAACATATCTAAGCCCAGTTGGGCATCGTAGATATTTTCTAGTACCTATAGACATGTCTGTGACCCAACTTATGTCAGATCATGAACATTCTTTTCATTTTGTGTCTGTCTAGATTCATCCTGGGGTTTGGGGCTGATTCCAAATACAGGTCATGCAGGCTAACTCTGGAACGTTATTCCATATAGGCAAGGGGCGGTTTGCAAGCAATTACAATGCAACATGATGCCCTCCCCACATACCACATAGTGCCGTTCAAATCCTATGCAGAGGCGGCAGAAGGGCAGACAGTGAAATGATACTACGATCATTCTCCTACCAATCTGCCAATCATAGTGTTGCATGCCGATGACTCCCTCACATTAGCCATCAATGGAAGGAACCACTCAATGCACAGCTGATGGGCGGTCAGTCCACAAAACATCACTCCATGAAGCACATTCACAAATCACAACCCAGCAGTCCCTAAGCCACAACAGCTTCTCCTGTGAAGGCCACCCTAAGGCAATTGGCAGGCATGGAGCATCTGTCACCCTCCAAACAGCCATCCTAGGTAAAGCCCAAATTTTCATTCCAAGGATTAGCACCAGAGGCCTGCGCCCACTGACTATTATCTGCTGCTGAATTTGAAGGCTCTGCCCCACTTCCTGGCTGTATGCTGTATTCTTGTATTCTGCAATAATCAATCTGCCACTAATTTAACTGCAGAAGGATTACCAGTGGTTCATAGAGTTGCCAGATGCCTCCTGAAAGCAAGCAAACTCTTATCCATGCATCTTGTGCCTCCACTCTTGCTCAATGGACTGGCAGGAAGGCAATGGCAGAGGAAATGACATCGCCATGTTGAGCAACTCTCTAGGAATTTTTCCAATCTCTATTGCCTTTGCCATAGAGATTGGGGGGATTCCTTAAGCATCATGTGACACTCCCCCTCTTGGAAAAGGCCTGGCAACCCATCTGTATGACGGCTTATTGTTCATGCGCGTGTTCACTAGAAATGTATTTGATTTTTATCCTGCCAATACTCTTGGGAGCTCAGGGCAACATACATGGTTCATTTATTCTCTTAACATTCCTTTTCTCACCCTGGTCTTAGACGTAGGTCTTGAACAATAAAATCTGAGAGCACTTCTCTGGCCTCTAGAAATTGAGCAACAAAATAATTTCTTTTAGAATCTGAATCCTCTAAGAGGAATTGAACCTTTTGCTCTAATGTCACTACAGGAGACATAGTCCATTTATCAAAACATGGCATAATCCATTTTAGCCTAGGCTGACACACATAAGGACACTGCAAGAGAATATGTGTAAGAGAGTCCACTGATTGGAGGGGGGCTAGGACACAGCCACTCCGAGAACGGGATCCTTGAGAGACGACCCAGCGATACCATTGCAAAGGTGCAATTAAATCATGACTGCATAAAGGTCCTGCATGACTTTGGGCCATCCGAGAATTCTAAGTAGGGAGGGAGTTTTCCTTAGACCTCTGCTCCACTTCCTGTATGCTGTATTCTTGTATTCTGCAATAATCAATCTGCCACTAATTTAACTGCAAAAGGATTACCAGTGGTTCATAGAGTTGCCAGATGCCTCCTGAAAGCAAGCAAACTCTTATCCATGCATCTTGTGCCTCCACTCTTGCTCAATGGACTGGCAGGAAGGCAATGGCAGAGGAAATGACATTGCCATGTTGAGCAACTCTCTAGGAATTTTTCCAATCTCTATTGCCTTTGCCATAGAGATTGGGGGGATTCCTTAAGCATCATGTGACACTCCCCCTCCCTAAAAGCTCTTGGAAAAGGCCTGGCAACCCATCTGCATGACGGCTTATTGTTCATGCGCAGGTCCACTAGAAATGTATTTTATTTTTATCCTGCCAATACTCTAGGGAGCTCAGGGCAACATACATGGTTCATTTATTCTCTTAACATTCCTTTTCTTACCCTGCTCTTAGACGTAGGTCTTGAACAATAAAATCTGAGAGCACTTCTCTGGCCTCTAGAAATTGAGCAACAAAATAATTTCATTTAGAATCTGAATCCTCTAAGAGGAATTGAACCTTTTGCTCTAATGTCACTACAGGAAACATAGTCCATTTATCAAAACATGGCATAATCCATTTTAGCCTAGGCTGACACACATAAGGACACTGCAAGAGAATATGTGTAAGAGAGTCCACTGATTGGAGGGGGGCTAGGACACAGCCACTCCGAGAACGGGATCCTTGAGAGACGACCCAGCGATACCATTGCAAAGGTGCAATTAAATCATGACTGCATAAAGGTCCTGCATAACTTTGGGCCATCCGAGAATTCTAAGTAGGGAGGGAGTTTTCCTTAGACAGAAGTCCCAAGGCAATCAGGGAACACATCCTCCTAGCATCAAAATGGGTATAGCTCTTATCTCTGGCACAGATCAGTCTGGCCACCTTTATCCTCATAACAAACCCCATGAGGTAGATTGGGCTGAGATAATGTAACAGATCAAAGGTTACCCAGTGAGGCAGAATGGGGCCTTGAGCCCAGAGCTCCCTAGTCATAGTCTCAACATCTAGTCATAGTCTGGAAATCTAACCATTACACTACGCTGCACTAGTGCTCAGAGATGAGGTGCCATGATTGTCAGGTCCGTTAGAGACGCCAGCGGGGGGGGGATTCCAGGAGCCAAAGGTATCACTCCCGACATACTGACATCACCGGAAGTGACATCACACGGCGTGCCCACATCACCCGGAAGTGACATAGACATGTCGGGGCCACACTCTGGTTTCTGGGCAAAACTCTATGGTATAATCACCCTCAAACCATAGAGTTTTGCCCAAAAACAAGAGTGTTGCCCCTGTGTATCCACGTTACTTCCGGGTAGGCTTGCCAAGTCCCCCCGGGGGGCATGGAAACCCCCGCCCCAGAGGCCCGTTCCCCGGCGGCGGCGGATCGGGCCCCGGGGGGAACCCCACCCCCAAAGCACGTGACGTGCACATCACCCGGAAGTGACGTGACCATGCCGGGCACGCTGGGGGCGGGGCCGTGGTCATCTGAGGGAAAACTCTATGGTTTTCCCTCGGATGATTGTGGCCCTGCCCCCGGCGTGCCCGACGTGGTTGCATCACTTTCGGGTGATGTAATTGTGGCGCGCACATGCTTCGTGCGCGCGCACGGACTCCCGGAGCAGCGCTGGAGTCTCCCGCTCTACATACCTACTTCCGGGTGACAGAGGCATGCTGCGTGACGTTGCTGTTGGGGGAGAATTTGTGGCCAGGAGGCCGCAACACTGGGCAATCCCCCACCCCCACCTGGGGAACAGCAACCCTATGAGGTGCATCCATTCCTTACTGTGAGATTGAGAGACCCAGAGAAGGGAGTCGAACCCTGAAGAGTACTTCTCACTATCCCAGGTATCCCTAAAAGACAACAGCAAGGACAATGATTTACCAGTGACGGGTACCAGAAAACAGGGATTGTCCCTGGTAAATAAGGACATTTGGAGCAAATACAATATGAAGGCCGAGGAAATTATCGAAACCAATAGTACGGCACATCAGCATAAAGTATAGCAGAAGCTGTCACTGTTTGCAGTCGCCTGACTAAGCGCAAGGCCTAAATTATACCTGAAGGTTTTATGTGGTTTTGTAGTGAGTGATCAGAAAAAATGATGGCCACACCAGTGGGCAGGAAAGATGAAAAAGAACAGGGTGCAAGGTACAGAGTTTATTTTGCTCTTATGGATCCCAAGGAGCTAAATAAACTCTCTACCTTGCACCTTTGTTCTTTTTCATCTTTCCTTTGTAATGAGTGCAACAGAGCACCCTACAGGCCTGGAGCAGAGAAACATCTTTCCCAACATCATTCAATGTTTTGTTCCTTTTTGCTCATTTCCCCCACTCTTCTCGTTACAAGCACTTCTATTCGTATTCACGCCCATATCCCACATTTGTTACAGAGCAGGAGGGACAGGGAATTTTTCCCCAGCATTCAGGGCAGGCTGCTTAGTATGGGCCATACAACCTTCTGCGTCTCAAAGCTGCCTCTCTTGTCTCCATCTGTTCACGGCTTTTTTTTGTCTTCTTTTTCTCACAGAGGAGGAACGCCCAAAGCCCAGGTAAGTGAGAGAAACAGGTGTTTTTCTGAAGGAAATGCATTATAGTGGGAACTAGGGTTGCTGGGGGGCCCCAGTGGTGGGGGGGACCCCCACTGCCAGGCCCTACCCCCACCACTGATCAGCTGGCTGGTGGGGGGATATACCAGGAGCAGGAGGGAGGCCCACACCAGGTCGTCAGCAACACAGCAACGTAACTTCCTGCATGTACCCAAAGTGATGCAATCATGTCAGCAACGTCGCAGCAACGCTCTGGTATTTGGGCAAAAACTCTATGGTAGAAGCCATTTTTACCATAGAGTTTTTGGCAAAATACCAGCGCATCACCACGACATCACAGTGGGACGACATCACTTCCAGTACATGCCGGAAGTGATGTTGCCGCATCGCTGGCAACATAGCCCGGGCCTGCCCCCATCCCCCGCCAGTTGCCAGAAGGGACCTGGCAACCCTAGTGGGAAACCGGGATGCTGAGGGTCTCAGTAGAAATAGAGCAAAGAGGTGACACAACATAAGAGTTAGCACCTGTGTTCTGGCAAGGCTTCTGTGCCTCTGCAAGGGTGGAAATTCCACTCAAATATCCTGTCCACAGAAAGGGGAATCAAATCTCACCTCAGGGGTTATTCACTTTATTTGAGAGTCAGCTTTACTTGAGGGCCACATCACATTTACCTTATTAAACACTTTATTTTCTAGTAAATAAACCTTTGTTGTTCATCTTGTCTGTCAAGTCAAAAATCTAAGGAAACGATCGCTATTTACCTTGCGTATATGTACAGCCAGGGCTTTTTTTGTAGAAAAAGACCAGCAGGAACTCTTTAGCATAATAGGCCACACCCAACAGCAGAAACTCATTAGCATAATAGGCCACACCCAACAGCAGAAACTCATTAGCATATTAGGCCACACCCCGACAGCACAGCTCGTTAGCACGTTAGGCCGCACCCCCATGTTACCAGAAGTGTGCTCATTCAGCCACACCCACCTTTTGCTTCTTATTCTGTTTACCTTGTTTGTGGTCAAAACCCAGGACATTTTTTTGTAGCAGGGACTCCTTTGCATGTTAGGCCACACACCCCTAATGTAGCCAATCCTAATGAGTTCCTGCTGTTGGGTGTGGCCTATTATGCTAATGAGTTCCTGCTGGGTGTGGCCAACTCGGGAGCCAGCCGGAACTCCGTTCCTGTGCGTTCCTGCCCCAAAATAGCCCTGTGTACAGCCTTAGTCTAGCATGTTTCCAAACACGAGACCTTTAGGGAGCACATAGCTTACGCACTACTAATCTTTAATTTAATTTAAAGGTTGTGACCTCCCTTTTTATTTGATTGCGGGCGGTTGGAGTATAAAGAATCTATGGGAGAGGCCAGAATGGAGGACTGGATATTCTTCAGTCCAGAAGGCAGTTGCCTCAGAGCCTCCCCCTCCCTCCCCATAGCCACCACAATAAAATTGTGAAATGCATTTATCTTGAAAATTGTCTATTATGCAGCAATCAGAGGCACAGAAACCAGGATGGGAAAGGTGGCAACCCAACCCAAAATTCAAAACTTGAACCTGACTTTTGACATGCAATCTTCAAAAATTTCTTTGTAAACACCTCCCCCCCACACACACACTTTTACTATTGCAACTTGGGGCGGGAGGGTAAGATTTCTTTTTTTGTAGTTTTTGGCTGTTAGCCTTTTGGAATATTAACTGCACTTTTTCCCCTGCTTGTGTTTGCCCACCCAAAGGCCAGTTGTTCCACAGTTGGCTCCTCCAAAAATCCCCGAGGGGGAGAGAGTGGATTTCGATGTGAGTATTTCGTTTCGTTCAACTGTCCTGATCTTTTTCAGCGGCCTCCACCAACCACTCTTGTATCTCTTAGATGAACAGCCACGGCCAATCAAGTCATTATGCCCGGGTGATCAGGTTGGAAACCATGGGAGATACAAGCTAATGATATGTACTTTACCCTGGTTGTTCCATTACCAGAAAATTACACATCAGTATCATCTGTTATGGAGCTGCGGTGGCTCAAGTGGTTAAGACGCTGAACTGCAGGCTGTGGAAGGTCATTAGTTCAGCAGTTCGAGACCCGGGTGTGCCGCAAGACGGAGTGAGCTCCCGTCTCTAGTTCCAGCTCCTGCCAACCTAGCAGTTCGAAAGCAAGAAATTGCAAGTAGATAAATAGGTACCACTTTGGTGGGAAGGTAACAGCGTTCCGTGCGCCTTGGTGTTTAGTCATGCCGGCCACATGACCACGGAAACGTCTTTGGACAGCGCTGGCTCTTCGGCTTTGAAACGGAGATGAGCACCGCAACCCTAGAGTCGGATTCGACTGGCTTTCGAGCAAGGGAACCTTTACCTTTACCTTTATCACCTGTAGCCTGAATCGGCTGCACACGGCAATCCACAGGCTGTGCTTCTCAGATACCTTTGAGGTGCCCAATTTCAGCTCATGCCTTTGATAGCAGTTGGATTTGCAAACACGAGCTGGATCACGTCTATCCCCATGCCGTACAAGGGTGATTACTGTCCAATAAATTGCTGCTATAAAAGGAGCAGGATATTGCAGGGGTGGGGTGTTCTATAGCTATAATATGGTATGCAGTATACTCCCAAATGCCCCTAGGCTATGCATGTGCCCCCCACCTTCTCCAAGTTGAACTCGGTAGGCGTGCTGAATGATTCCAGCCGGGGCTGCAGAGGATCCCCGTGCCCCACTCTCACTCTGAGTGGCAGCAAGAGAAAAAATACCACCCCATGACAGCAGCTGTAGCGTCACACCGCTTCCAGTAAACCAACAACAACTACTACTACCAGAAGTGGCATAGGATAGCTCTAGGAACACTGAACCATAGAGTTTCAGGTGATTTCTAAAGCTACTTATGTCACTTCCGTTTTTTGTTTTTACCAGAAGTGACATGATATTGTAGACACTGTAGACGGGGGGATAGCAGAACTCGATCAGGCTGTGAGAGAATGCACATGCACAAAAAGCCAAGTGCGCGGCACTGCGTAGTTAGGAAGGAATACAGTGATGCAGCCTGTGGAGCACGGATCAACAAACTATCGAACTGGCCATTAAAAAAAATCAGGTCCCTGTTTGCAGCCAGCGAACAGGACGCCAGCTGAACTAGCGAGTGTTCGAGCACCCCTGGCGTTTAGTGCTTTTCTCTTTGGGTTTCTTGAAAGAAAACCAGTGGTGGGAAGCTGCAGTGTTGAGAGCGAAAAGGGGGGGAGGCAGCTGCTGAGCCCTTTCCATTCTAGCCACTCCCCCTCATTAGTACCAATCCTTCCCCCACCCTGATACTTCCTGCACAGGGTTGGAGCAGGAGGATTTTCTGTTGCAGCAGAAGGTTTTTTGGCCTTCAAAACCATAGAGTTTGCCCACAAACCAGAGCGTTGCTGCGCAACAGCCCTGTTTCCGGATGGGATTTTCCTCTGCCAGCCAGTTGGCCGGCGGTGAATCAAAGCCCCCCAAAGCGGGGGGAATCCTGCTGGGACCTGGCAACCCTCCTTGTGCACCAATAGGGTTGCCAGTCTTCAGGTGGTGCCTGGAGATCTCCCAGGATTACAACTGATCTCCAGGTGACAGAGATCAGTTCCCCTTAGGGTTGCCAAGTCTATCTTCGCCGGGAGTGGGGGGCTCCCGGCTGGCGTCTTGTGTGTGTGTGTGCGCGCGCTTTGCACGTGCACGCCGCATGCACGTCACCCAGAAGTGACGGGAGGATGCCAGGCACGCTGGGGGCAGGGCCACGGCCATACAAGGGAAAACCATAGAGTTTCCCCTTGTATGGCCATGGCCCCATCCCCAGCGTGCCCGGCGTGCCCACGTCACTTCTGGGTGACGCGCAAGTCGGGGTGGAGTTCCCCCCGGGGCCCGATCCGGCGGCACCGGGGAACGGGCCCCCGCCCCCTGAGGGGACTTGGGATCCCTAATTCCCCTGGAGAAAATGGCCACTTTGGAAAGTGGACTCTATGGCATCATACCCCACTGAAGTCCTTCCCCTCCTCAAATCCCACCCTCCCCAGGCTCCTCTCCCTAAATCTCCAAGTATTTCCCAACCTGGAGCCGGCAACCCTACGCACCAAGGAAGCGGGGGGAAGTATTCTGGGGAGTTGGTGCAGCCAAAAAGGGGGAAATAACCCCTCCCCATCGTGTCATTTCCGGTTGGGAAAGAGCGCAGAGAGGAAAGGAAGAGACCTTTCTCTCCCCTACAGTTCCTGGCTCTGTTAGGCTTTCCCCTAAACTTATAGTCTTCACAGCTGCTCTATGGTTGTAGGGAGAGAGAGTGAAGTCCATTACATTAAAAAAAAATGTAACGTCTATTTTGGCTCCAAGAGACTAAAACATTCCTGATCTCTCAGACAAGGAACTTGGGTTCATTCTGAGTTGCAGTTTAGACAAACTGAAGTGGATTAAGGATTAATCCGGTGGCTGTTGCGTGTCAGTGTAAACATGGAATGTGAACCATGCTGCTTAAAGAACTATAACCTGTTTCAAAAGCAGAAAAGAATGAATCATTAAAATCCACTGACAAATGAGTTATTTCAGACAAAACCCAAAACCTGTTCCTTGGTGTGCCAAATGCTCCGGGTACATCTAAGACAATGAATGTTGTCAAAGAGGGAAAGATTTATTGTCTGTGTCATGATCTGGCCTGTGCCAGCACAGCCTAGCCAGCCTAAGAGGCCTGGGTGGCAGTAGGAGGCAGCTAGGCCTACAACTCCCAGAAGGCATTGGGAGAGGCAGAGAGGGAGATCCTGGGAGGAGACTGTTGAACTGTGTGAGGAGGGAGTCTTAGCCGTTAACTGAGGAGAAACAGGGTGTTCTTCGGGTCTCTCTCTGCGGCCTGGTCCCACTGTGGGGACAGGCTGGTCTGGGAGAGAGGGAGATCTACACTGGGCTCAGCGTGAGTGTTAGGCAGGCTGTGGGCCTGGAAGTAAAACAGTTAGGAGTAATAGACAGCTGCGTTAGGTTATGTTTATTTTTCCTTTCACACTGTTATACCCTTTTTAAGCACCTTTGCCGTGTCTTGTTTTTCCCTGCCCCACTGTTGTTTTAATAAACCCTTTTTGTGTAATTATTTTCTCTGCCTGGGTCAATCACGCCTGTATTGCTCGGCTGAAAAGGGGCTTGGGAAGGTACCCTGGGCCTCCCAAGGGACCTTAAATCCAGGGTGGTGGAAGGTGGGGACCCCCTGGGGTCATGACAGTCTGCCAATGAGATTTTGTTTGCTCAGGCCATTTAAGAAGATGAGGAATTTCACATTACCCTTTTTAACCCGTTTTGAAGCCGTTTTTGATCCGTCATGGAGTAAACCGGTATAGGGCTGCCATTTCACACATGGCTTTCCCCTTCTGTTAAAGAGCTGGATCTGAAGCAGTTTGCCATTTCAGACTGCACCACTTTTTCCCGCTTTCCCCCCGCCGTTTTTCGCCTGTGTGGGCGATCTCCAGCTTTTTTTTTTGAACATTCGCTTTAGAGCGCTATAGCGCTATAGCACTATAACAAAACACTCCAGGCATTCCAATGGGGTTGATATAATGCTGTAAAGCGAACTTTTTTAAAAAAAGCTGGAGATCGCCCGCGCGGGCGAAAAACAGCGGGGAAAAGTGCATCAGAACCGGGAGAGGAAACTGAAGACTACTTGGAAGTGGTTGACAGGTAAAACGCTTCAGCCCCGTTTCCTAAACGGGACAGAAGCGTTTATGCGTGAAATTACAAATATATTCCGGCAGGGAACCAGTTCTAAAACGGTTCTGTCTGAAATGACAGACCAGAAACTGTTTGGGAACCGTTCCTCTTCCGGATTATATCGTCTGTCTGAAATTCCTCAATAAGAACAGCTCATCAGGATTAGACCAGAGGTCCACCTAATCCAGCAGCCTATTTCACACAATAGCCAACCAGCTGCCCTGGAAGGCCAACAAACAGGGCGTAGAGGCCAATTACACACTTTAATTACTAGTTGAATAAAGTACTTCCTTTTGTCCATCCCAAATCTATTGCTCATGAGATTCACTGGGTATTTGTGAGTTCTAGTTCAACTGCCTTCTCCTGTGCCTTCTCCTGTGCCTTCTCCTGTGCTCTTTCCGGCTTTGCAATATCTTTTTTGAGATATGACTAGAACTGCACACAGTGTTCCAAATGAGGCCACATCATAGACAGGGAGATTATAATACTGACTGTTTTATTTTCAATCCCTTCCGTGGGGATTGTCTTTTTCACTGCTACAGCACACTGAGAGTTGACATTTTCACTGAATTGTCCACTGCAACCCCAAGAACTCTTTCTGCCTTCATCTCTGCAAATTTTGATCTCACTAGCATATATTTAAATTAGGATTTTTTCCCCCATTGTGCATCACCTGTCACTTACCTACACTGAATTTCATTTGCCATGTTGTTGTCTACTCACCCAATTTAGAGAGATCCTTCTAGAACTCTTTGCAATTTTCACCATCCTCCTAATCTGGTGTCATCTGCAAATGATATCTGACATTATGCTGCTAACCTCCAAGTCCAAATAACCTATGGAATTAAATACTTCCAGTCCCAGTACTAATATTTGTGGGACCCCACTACTAATTTCCCACCATTGCACGAACTGTCCATTTATTCCTACCCTTTATAAGTGGGCCCATGCTTTTACTCAGCAACTGCTAAGCTTATTCCTGAGTCTTTGGTGAGGCACCTTGTGAAAAGCCTTATGGAAGTCCCAGTATATAATGTCCACTGGATCACCTTTATCTACATAGTTGTCAACCTTCTGTAAGAATTCCAAAAGTTTGATGAGACAGGATTTGCACTTGCAGAAGCCATGCTGATTTTCCCTCGGCAGGCTTTGTTCCTCAGTGTGCTCAATAATTTTATATTTAAAAACACTTTCTACCAATTTATGCAGAATAGATCTCAATTTGCCTGGATCACCTCTGGACACATTTTTAAAAATCATTGTAATATTTGCAGCATTCCAGTCTTCTGGTATGGTTTCACTGCCATAGACTCACCTGTTGTCCGTCATATTCTCTTTTATACTCAAGAACATCCTGGGCAATTGACAGGGAAGGAATAACATGCTAGAAAGCTTTGAGAGAATTCAGGCATATGAACAGCGTGGTTTTCATAAACACAGTGTTTCCATAGAAGGACTCATTTTTCCATGCATGGAATATAATCAGGCTTCTCTCCATCTGCCGGGCAGGACATCCACCGTAAGCGCATGGAGAAGGATCTCCTGGAGTTGCAGACCCTCATTGATGTACACTTTGAGCAGAGAAAGAAAGAAGAGGAGGAGCTCGTTGGTCTCATGTCAAGAATTGTGAGTTCTGGACCGCAAGGGATTGTGGGTAGCTGGCAGCACAATATGGTCAGATCATTGCGAGAGATCCCTGACATGGATGAATTAGGAGGACCACACGTTTTGCAGGACTATTGTTGACATGCCAGGCCAATTCAGTGTTTTGCCATCCCAAGCATTTCCATCACCTCCTCCCATGGCTGACAGCAAATAACAAGTCGACCGCCTACCCCACCCCCCAAGTCCTGCCGTGGTTTAACTTGAACTCAGCCAGCAGCAGTGCAAGTCCGAGAGGTACAAAGATGGCTGTGGTTTTGTTCCAAACAGAGAGGGTCCATGTCGGAAACTTAATTTTAAAAGTGAAACAACTTATTTATGAAATTCGGTAACGCTCTGGTTTTAGACCTGACGGAGCAGAATGATGCAATGGGCTCTACCATTTTGGACTGAAGGTGGGGGGTTTGCATTTTTAAGAGAGCCAGTTTGGTATAGTGGTTAAGAGTGATTCCCCACTCCTCCACATGCAACTACTGGTGTGACCTTGGGTCAGTTACAAGCAATGCTCCCTCTAAGCTGTGGAGTCCTGTGAGCAAAAATTCTGCCTTGTGAGCTACTGGCATTAAAGTTGTGAGTGAACCATTTGGCTAATGCATAAATTAGTTTGCTCCGCAACTGTCTTTCCTGAGCTAAGACAAAAATGTGTCAGCTGGAGGTTAAAAAACTGTGAGTGGGCTCACACTAACTCAGCTTAGAGGGAACACTGGTTACAAGTTGTTTCAGAGCAGTTTTTGAAAAAACTCTCTTAGCCCCACCTACTTCAGGATATCTGTTGCGGGGAGGGGAAGGGAAAGGAGATTGTAAGCCACTCTGAGACTCCTTCGGGTGGTGAAGGCTGGGGTATAAATCCAGTCTCTTCCTCTTCTTCATCATGTTAATTAAAAAATAAATAAATCTTAGCACATCAAGGAGAAGGATTCTAGCCCAGCCTTTCTCCCAGTGAGCTCATTTTCCACTTACAGGAAATTATTAAAGTAAAAAACCTGCAAAAAACATAACTGTTCCCCTGAAGTCAAGTGGCCCAACAATAGCCTAACTTGGGTTCACCCAAGACATATATACTGATGGAGATGAATCTGCCGTACTAAAGGATATAGTCAGAGGTCCTTTTTGTTTCTTTTGGGGGTTTGTATGCTGTCAATGTGAGCCTTGTCACTGATGGTTTTCTCCACCTGTTTGTTTCTCCTAAGCCATTTTTATGCAGTTTATATATAGCATTTTCATGCAATTCATAAAAATCACATGCAACAACCATCTGTTGGCTATCCCACCACTGACAGTGGCCTGTCTGGTATCAACCAGAGCCTGGGCCATTTCCATTGTGGAATGGGCTCCCAGAAGAGCCCCTTGGAGATCTTCAGGAGACAATGCAAATCCTGCCTATTTGCCAAGGCATTTGAGGGGTGATGAACTGGCAGACATCTTTTAAGGTGGAGGGGGTCAGTCAGGCATTTATTACGGCAACAAGCCATAGAACACACATGCTTAAATATAACATTCATAACATTCGTATAACTGAATTTAGGACAGTAAAATAAAACTCTATAAAAACACAGCTGAGCGTAATAAAATAAAAGAAGAACATAAAACAGAGAGGTATTAGGCAACTATTATTATATATATTTGATCATGTATTTCGGATGCAGTAGCATGCTACCTAAAATTTTTGCCACAGTTTCAGTAATTGTCCGGTTCCCATCAATTAACAATCGCTTACACTGCTCAGCACCTGATTGTCCCACCACATATGTTATAAGAGGAGTAATATATTTGTCACGGATCCTGTTATACCAGTTACATCTGAGCATCGTGGGCTCAACTGTGTTTCTCTCAGTGGAGGGGGGGGAGAGAGATTTGGGGTTTGCTATAGTAGTTTTGTTTTTAGACTGAAAAGGTTTTTAACTATCATGGTAAGCTGCCTTGAAGGAAAGGCAGGGTATAAAAGTTTTAATAAACAAATATATATATATATCTCCTATATATATGCAACAACTGAATAAATAGACCTCTATCAAACACATGGAGTTGCAAGCTTTTATAGAACAATGGAAAAATACCTATTAATTCTTTTTCTATTCCCAAAATGTGGATAGTTTATTAGGCTTACTTCCTAATGAGAATGCTGTTTAGTCTTGCCGCTTATTTGAGAGTTCTTGTAGGTGCCCCACACTGCTGTCTGAGTCCAAGCCAAACCCTGGGCTGGAAAAGTCCATGGGTATTCCTTGCTTGGGCACCAAAAATACCTTGCACCAGCCCTGCTTCAGGCTTTTTCCTGCTCTTGGTGTGCATACCTGGAAAACTGGCCATTTTAAATATGTATACCAGGTTTAAACTTTCCTGTGAGTGTGTGGTTTCAGTCAGAGAGAGCTGTAAGCTGGCTAAAGGCAAAGCACCATAGTATACTGTCTCCCTCTCTGGGGACCTGGTGCAGGAATAGGGGACCCGCTACCTTGTCGAACTTCCTGCTTGCTTCCACTTATGCAGCATTTGCATCTCTGTAAATATAGCCGGTATTACAAAATAAGCCTTAAGTCCCAGATGCTCAATCATCTAAAATCAGGGCTCTTTTTGTAGAAAAAGCCCAGCAGGAACTCATTAGCATAATAGGCCACACCCAACAGCAGGAACCCTGACAGCACAGCTCATTAGCACATTAGGCCACACCCACATGTTACCAGAAGTGTGGTCATCCAGCCACACCCACCTTTTGCTTGTTATTCTGTTTACCTTGTTTGTTGTCAAAACCCAGGGCCTTTTTTTGTAGCAGGAACTCCTTTGCATGTTAGGCCACACACCCCTAATGTAGCCAATCCTAATGAGTTTCTGCTGTTGGGTGTGGCCTATTATGCTAATGAGTTCCTGCTGGGCGTGGCCAACTTGGGAGCCAGCCGGAACTCCGTTCCTGTGCGTTCCTGCCCAAAAATAGCCCTGTCTAAAATAAACCAAACCCACTAGCTTTGCCCTGAGAACATCCCACCATTTGGTGACATTCAGAGCAACTAACAATATTGTGCTCAGCCATTCAGCCTACAAAAGATCTTCCCAGTGGCACAATAAAAAAAAATAATCACACACATTCCTCAAGACTGTCAACACGCAAAGAATTGTTCCTTTTAACTCCCATCATATCATTGGTTAGCTGTATCGCTACATGTGGTCAAACTCAAATCCAAAACTGGAATAATGTGCTTTTATATGCTAAGGCAAGCAAACAAGGACACAATTTAGTAGAGGTCATAATAAACTGAAAGCTGCTCTCATAATTGAAAGTCCTGAAACACTAAATAACATATGTGGCTATTCCCAGTGACAGGGAGTTCCGCAGGACCATTATTTTATATCCCTCAGTTTCAAGCCTACTTTGCAAAAGCCTGAACAACCTTTTGTGCTCTGGGGTAGGAACACCGCCGGGCAGAACGTGCCGAACAGCAGCGGGTCCGCACCGAGAAAGAACGGGAGCGACAGGCCAAACTAGCCGTGAGTACTATCCTCCTGGAGGAGGGGGAGGCCAAAGTCTGGCTCGTGGGAGGAACATGAGAAATTCAAGAAAGCAAAAATAAGTAGCAGACAAATGGAAAAAAAAACATTGTGAATGTGTGTGTGAATTAGTGGTTAACCTGGGAGGCATAGCTCAGGGAGCGCAGATATAATGGTTTCATTGCCCCACCTTTGGATAATGGGTTCCATGTTGCCATCGTTTGCAGGAAGAGAAAATGAGGAAGGAGGAAGAAGAGGCTAAGAAAAGGGCTGAAGATGACGCCAAGAAGAAGAAAGTGCTGTCCAATATGGGAGCTCACTTTGGTGGATACCTGGTGAAGGTGAACTGCCTGGGGAAAATAAGGGGTACAAAGCCTGCCCCTTCTGCATAATAATCTTATGAGCATGCCCCACATCCCCTGCTAGTGCTTACCTGGGTTGGTTCCAGGGCTCCCATTTGCTTGCTTATGTCAGGTGTCAGGGTCCTTAGCCAGGTTACTCAACACAGGGCTTCATGAGAAGATAACAGTTAATTGGTAAATCCAGAACTAGAGACACGTGTACAGCTTGTGTCAGGAATGGCCGCCAATACTAGGGCCTCTGACTTATACTAAAATCAAACATCCCCCCGGTTAACATGAGCCAATGGATACATCTTGTGTGGGTGGGCAAAGCAAGCAGGCAAAGCAAAAGCCGTTAACTTTCCCAGCCGAGTAAAACTGCAGCTGGAGCATCTACAAGGTCAAGCATAAGATAGCAAACAGTTGGTGAGCCAGGGAGAGCTGAGACAGAAAACAGGAGGGCACCCCTCCACATTCCAGACCTTTGATAGGCAATTGCTGCCCTTGTGTGCCAATGTGCAGCTGAGAGGTGGGCAGAAACTGGGACCAAAGGGAGGGGCAGGATCATCCTGGGGAGAAAAATTAGAGAGAAAAATAAGGCTTCATCTAATTACAGCAAATTCTGACCACAGACTTTTGGATGATTCCTAGAGCTACCCGGAACTGACAAGGGTAACTCTAGCAATCACCAGAAACTCCATGGTAATCTTTCCATATTTTCACCAGCATCTATGGTCTCCTTTGTAAGGAAAAAAAATAGGTTTTCAAAAAGAGGGGAAGAAAAACTCCCTTTCTACTCCTGGGGTAGTGCTCCCTTCAAATGCATGGACTTGGCTGGAAAATCTCCAGATCAAATCCATAGGGGTGGAGAAATACCCATCCCCAAGCCAGAGAGACCTGCTGCAGGAATCCACTTATCATTAATATGGGGTTAAGTGACTCAGTATAAAGCAGCTTCTGTCCCATCCCACCCCTGGAAAAAAACCAACACATTTAGGCTCGGGTCACACGGCACTGTAAATGCGCCTTGTTCCCGCTTTAATTTAAACGGGAATATTTTGTTCCGGTTTTGCATGTCTACACCACCTCTCAAGAGCACGGGGCCATCCTTGCCATCGGCCCAGTCGCCGCCGGCCTGGCACGCCTTCTCCCGGCGCTTCTGGGCCAGCAGGAAGGCGCGCGGCGCGGACGCTTTAACGTGCTGCTCGGGTGCCATCTCCACCACCTGTTTCAGCAGCCTTCGTTTACCCACCATCTCCTAGGCAGAGCAAAAACGTGGCAAGAGGCAGACCGGCCGTGAAATGAAGACCCGGATCTTATCAGAAAGGAGGAAATCACTGAACATAGACAACTTAGGCGAACAACAGCTGAGGTTGGTAATGTAACTGGCAGACAGAAATGGGAGGGCTGGTTGTTTTTCTGAACCTAAGCATAGGGACTTGTCAAAGAATTCTTGTCCCACAACACAGCCTGCCTCTCTCTATCCAGGGACAAGGCCAAGGAACTGCATGACTGGATCAATCAACTAGAATCGGAGAAATTTGACCTGATGCAAAAACTCCAATGTCAGAAGTATGAGGTAGGAGCCAGCAGAGAAAAGGAAAGCCCTTTCTGCTTTTATGGGAGCAGCCACGTCCAAAATGAGCCCTCTCAGAATGACACTATGAAATGCAGAAATGCCATATGTGCATCTTGTTTGGGCAAATGTCAGAACAATTCTCCAGTGCAGGCAAAAAGGAAACATATTCCTACATAACTTTAATGTCATGCTAAACCATGATTTGATTAAACTTTCATGAGTTGTGGCATCTGGATAGGTTTTGACAAAACAGGATTTTGTCAGTTTGTGCCCAAGGAGGACTTCAAACAGGGTTTATCACAGGTTTATTAATCATGGTTTTATACTAGATGTCATTTGTTATGACAAACCACAGTTTGTTGAGCAGCTGGGCCCATCGCAGCTACCTGGCCACAGAAAGAATAGCATAGGGAAGATGCTGTCCCTGTTGGGTGGTGTGAGATAGGACACAAAACAGGCAAATTGGGCTTTGTGCTCAAACCAGGACTGGCAATTTATATCTCATAGACAAATCAGTTTGTTGCATAAACCACAGTTTAAACCAACAGTCCCCAAAGTTGGCGTACCCCATTAGGGTTCTCAGATCCCATTTGCTCCTTCCCCAAAACCAAGGGCCAGTCCGGACTTTCCTCCACCTCATTTGAGCAGAAAGAGCTTCCAAAGAACCCAGGAAGCATCAGCTTTGTGTTTGTAGAAACCCTCAATTCAGAAACAGGCCCCTCTACTTTAGAAGGATGCAGGGCTTGTAACCTCCCAACATTTGTGACTGGCTCCATCACACCACGGCAACCATTTTGTGACATGCCCTAGAGTCATGGTAGCCATTTTATGCTGCCACTGTGCCCTATTTTAAAAATTCCAAAAGTGTCACAGTCTCTGTGACATCAGGGGCCCCAGGTTTAAACAAATCACAGTTTATCAGGACATCGCAGGATATAGGCTTTCATGGGCCAAAGTCCGTGCAGCAGAAAGAAAGCAGAAAGAAATTTATTGTATTGGGCATTTGAGGGACACCCACTATAGCCCAGCCTGTCTTTTCATTTATGATTAAGGCAGAAGCAGCCAAGAGGAAGCCTGGTTCTTCATCAGCCTGTCAAAAATAAAGTGCTTCTGCAGCCACAATTTGGATCAAGGCTACATGAGAAGGGGAAAGGGAATGTAAATAAAGCCAATATTTAGTGTCCTTTAAAAGCCCATCTTCCCACTTTTAGAAGGTGAATAACAGTGCAGGCAAGCCAGGTTTCCATTCACAAAACTTGAGCTAGCCTTGGGTTAAAGGTTCGGTCTTGGACCGTGTGCGTTGACCTTGTGCAGACTGCTTAGGCTTGCCAAGTTCCCCCGGGGGGGCGGGGAAACCCCCACCCCAGAGGCCCGTTCCCCGCCGCCGGCGGATCGGGCCCCAGGGGGAACCCCACCCCCACGTGCACGTCATCAGGAAGTGACGTGACGACGCCGGGCACGCTGGGGGCGGGGCCACGACCATTCGAGGGAAAACTCTATGGTTTTCCCTCAGACAGTCGTGGCCCCGCTCCCAGCGTGCCTGCCATCGTCATGTCACTTCCTGGTGATGTGCATGCGGCGCACGCGCACATGCTCAAGCTGCAAGCTGGGAGTCCCCCGCTGCTGCGATTTTTTCACTTGGCATCCCTAGTCCCTCCCCTCCCCAAACCCTGCCCTCCACCCTCAAAATCTCCAGGAATTTCCCAAGCCAGAGCTGGCAACCCTACCACTGACCCAGATCAGTTTTGTGATGTTGTGATGATTCCAGGTGAAATCTGTGTTTGACAAATCAAGACATTATACACACACTATAATCCTGCAAACACACACACACACACAAAATTGTGGAACATGTTTGTACCACAGAGGCATATTCATTAACCAGTTACAATTTATAAAAGCAACAGTTTGTGTATTCATTTATTCGGGATATTTCTATGCCACTTCTTCGGCACAGTAACAGTATAAAACTAAGCCATTAAAAAAACCAAGCCATTGGACATGAACAGCTACCCATAAAACAAGCAGACCATTTTAAAAGCTCATAAGATAAAACCTCTAATTAAAAGCCTGGGTAAAAAGAACAGGCTTCCTCGGGAGGTGGTGGGCTCTCCTTCTTGGGAGGCTTTTAAACAGAGGCTAGATGGCCATCTGACATGCTGGTTCTGTGAACTTAGGCAGATCATGAGAGGGGTTGCATCAGTGCTTAGTTCTCAGGGCCCTTTCTTATGCCACT